CTTTTGGGTCAAATATTTTCAAAGGTAACTTCGAAAAATAATAGTTCAGCTTGGACTTAATAAACAAGAGAAAATATTTGTAAGAAAAGGCTTGCACAGTGATAGAATACCAAGAGTATATCGAGCCTTGCTAGAAACCATAAAGTGGACAATGTAATGCCACATCAAATAAAGTGACCCAAAACAAAAGGACCACTTGAAAGAGGCGAATCGCGAAACTAATTAAAAATTAAAAAAGCTCACCTCTTCGTGGATCTCTTGATCCCAGAGCGTTCCTTCGCATGATTAGCATTAAGCTTGTCTGTTACAAGAGTGTGAGCACGCAACATTGCGGAAGCATCTTTTTCATGTTTCTTTCGTAGTGTCTCCAGATCTTTAGCCTGCTTTTTCACCACCTTTTGATGTGATTTGTCGGTTTGCAGAAGCGCCAGTGAAATAGCGTCAAATTTAGGGTCATCTAAAATCGGGAAGATAGAGTAAAGGAACAGGGACTAGAATAAGAGGGAAAGGGTAAATATGAATGTGTACACTTTCTATAGAAATAGGGATATTCCTACTCCGTTCAATTATAGAGTTTTAGATGAAGAGAAATATTCATCTGCTCATACGTATAAGTTGTAATAAAGATGTGGGCAACAGACGCGTGAAAAACAGAAAAACGGAAAATAAAATACTTTTTAAATGTCTGGAAATGATTCGATCCCAGCTTTCAAATCTCCTTTGATTCAAATGTGCCATTTAAATCATTAGCTAGATAGTAATAATAATTTTGATACTTGTTTCCAAATCCTTGTAGATTACAAATTTACTGTTTAAAAAATGAAAAAAAAAGTGGTATGGCCCTTATGGAAAGGTTAGAACCGGTAATCTCATCCAGAGGCGGGATACAATCACCCATATGCCCAGGAAATAGTATTCTGCGATACTTTTTTCATCTCTGCCGACATAATACTCACACTAGTTGATAATAGCACGGAGGATTGACAGAATGCGGTAATAATAG